CGGGAAAATAAAATGGCACATCTAGTTTGGAAAACAATTTGGCAGTTTCTTCATACAAAGTGGCAGCTCTACCCCTGGATACGTATAGAAATCAAAGCATAGCTCCATACAAAGACTTGTACACCAGTGTTCATGGTAACATCACTCAAGATAGCGAAAAAGTGGAAACACCCTAAATCCATCGGCTGGTGAATGGGAAAAGGAAGGGCTGTCCATGGTACTGAAACACACCGGTCGCTCTGCTAGCTTTTATTTCAATATTTCTAAATAATCCTTTTATAAATTCGAAATAGCTCTCTGCTCAGCCCATGTCCCATTTTTAAACATTAATTAGTCCAGTTGTATAAATCTGTAGCCACTTAAAATGTTCATAACAAGATTTCCCACAGTGAAAATGATTTTTTAATGGAAAACTTGTATATAATCCATTTCCAACTCTAATTAGATTTATCTGGGGAAAACACCATGGGCTAAGTAATATAATACTAGCTAAACAAAATGTTAATATACTCTAAGTGGTGGAATACTGTTACATCTAAAAAACATAATAAGCAACATTAATAAGAAACTGGAAATCTGTAATTTTGGTAGTTATTCACAAATTATGCATTTTGTTCTATTTAAAAACAAATATCTCGTTCACAGGGACAACAGCCAATATCTTCAAACTTGGAGGCTCCATTTGTATCAAAGCAAATGCTACCACACAGCAATTACATCTTTACTTTCTTGGATATATAAGTAAAAATCATTATTTTCACAACCGAGTAATGAAAGTCTTGGCCATTAAGCAGATTATATATACAGTCAGCTCTCATATGACTTAAAATTTAATACTGTTATTATATCTACTGTTAATGTACAACACGTGGCATCTTATAGCTAAACAGTATATTTTAATCTAATAATAGTAGCTGTAATATTCTGAAATGTGCTTCATGACTCAAAGCCATAATGTGTTCAGTGAGGGTTTGGATTAACACTTCATGAGTCTAGATCCATTACAGCTTGTTGAAAGAGGACAAAGGAAGACAAGAAAGCTTTAAGGTGCTTAAAAAAGAAAAGAGACAATCATTTTGGAAGAACTCCTTTTCCTTGCTCAGTGGATCCTGTGAAGGGCTGCTGGCGGTCTCCCTCGTTTACTGAAGGGATTTTAACGGAGCAGTATGTGCCCACCTGTGGTAACACAGCATGTCCTGCTCCAAAGAGGCCACTAACAGGCCAGGCTGACACTTCCTAATTCATCACAGAAGCGAAAAATAGGAAACCCAGAAGCCACAAAAGGCTTTTTACGGATTTTATAAAGAAGGATGGGGATTCAGATAAGCTTATGGAACTGAACTCAGAAGAAACACGTTGCAATCCTATGTGGAACAGAGAAACGATACTCCCCTCACACCGGCCAAAACTTAACAAGACTTCAACAGAAACCAGAGCACACATGTGAGCTAAAACTGGACATTCCTTATACTTTTAGGCTAAAATCCACTTTCTTATTCGTCTTAATCACATACTAATCTTTTTGCAATAGGAGTTTCCAACTTAGCTTTACTACATTTATTAGACATTCTCTCTGTGACAAGCACTGTGTGGAAAGGGTACAAAAATAAATGACGTGCTTCCAGTTGCCACACCATACACGTGCTGCTACAATGATGTAAGATGCTTTGGGGGATACAGAAGAGGGAACAATGAGGACTCAAGGAAAACGTTATAAAGAAAATGATACTTTAGATGGGCTCAAGGGGTCAGAAAGAAGATCAGAGCACAAGACAAGAAGGGCAGCGCAGACAGAGAGAACTCCAACACCAAAGGTGTGAAAGAGCCTACTCAGAGAATGGTTAAGTTCAAGGTAACTGGAACACAGCACATGTTTAGAAGGCAGGAAAAGAGATGAGGCCAGAGAGACAGTGGAGGATGTTGCTGGACAAGTGGAGAAGAATCAGAGAGGCTCAAAAGATATAAAAATTGGGATAAAAATCTCATGAAAATCAGGTCTTCAACTAGACCTTGAAAAATGGTAAAATCTGCCAACTCCTAATAACTCAGAACATTTGGTAACTGCTGGCCAATATAAGTGTTCTGAATCTCACAGAGAAAAGACTAGAGAATTTAACGTGATTTCACATCCAGTAAGGGAAAACCAAACAGTGACTAATCAGTATAGACAAGTCAAAACATGCCAAAGGACAGAACTCATCCACACCACTCCAGGCCCCTGGAAAATGCAACGACTTCAGTTCCAAGGGAGATTAACAACAATAACAAAAAAAAAGGTCCACCGTCCCCAGTGCTGATGGTAGAACACAACCCTTCGATGATTATCGCTCTTCTAGAACCACAGTGTGCAATCTGGTACCCAGTGGACTCGTGTCGCTCTTAAAATTAATTTAATTAAAATTAAACAAAATTTAAAATTTGATTCCTTAGTTGCCCTATTCCCATTTCAAGAACTCAACAGCTGCACGTAACTAGTGGTTACCATGTGGACGGTGGAGGCAGGATATTTCCCTCACGGTAGAAAGTTCTACTCATCAGTGCTTTCCTAGAGTCACCATTACAGGAAGAACAGGAGAAAAATCCTTACGGGCAGAAAGTCACATTACAAATTTCTATTTTCCTCAGGTCACTTAGCACTGACTTTGGGATACACATGTGTATTCAATGTATGTTTGTCAAACTGAATTTTAATATAAAAGAAGTAATCATGGAAATGAGGTGATGGTACATGTTCCACTGAGGCCAAAAGCTAAATATTCTTGCCCTAACTCTATCAACAGATTCCACAACTGAAGCTTTGTATCAGAGTTCTGAAAGTAACCACATAGTATACAACTACAAGTGAGTTAAATACAACCAATTTATAAAGTGGTATATATACATACACAGTGAATACTACTCACTCACAAAAACAGAATGAAATTTTACCACTTGTAACAACATGGGTGGGCTTGGAGGGTATTATGTTCAGTGAAATAAGTCAGACAAAAAAGGACAAATATTGTATGATATCACTTTTTTGTGGAATCTAAAACATACACGGGTGAATATAACAAAAAGGAGACAGGCTTACATATGCAGAGAACAAACCAGTGGTTACCAGTGGGAAGAGAAAAGAAGGGAGGGGGAAAGGTAGAGTTAGAGAATTAAGAGGTACAAGCTATTAGGCATAAAATAAATAAGCTACAAGGATATACTGTACAACACAAGGAACATAGCCAACATTTTATAATAACTGTAAATAGAGTATAACCTTTAAAAATTGTGAATCACCATGTCATGTACCTGTAACTTATATAAAATTGTACATCAACTATATCTCTATAAAAATAAATAAATAAATATTAAAAATAAATAAAATCAGCGTATGGAAATATAAAGCGACAAAAAAAACCAAAAAACAAAAAAAAAGGAGATTAGGTGTAACTCACTTATCACACAGATGTCTTCTAAAATAGTTACTGGAAAAATGAATGACATTTTATACTTTGAAAGTGAAGTTTACCATTTAAGAAATCCTGTGGAAACCAACCCATAAAGAGGATTAGCATCTCTTAACTTATCTAGTTAGAATATTAGAAAGAGTCAACTGTCTTTGACCTAAAAAAAAAAAAGCCAATTCTATGTTGCTAGAAACAGTCATCAAAAGTTAAATCCACAGAACAAAGGCTGACCAAGAGAAGACAGGGGTCTTGAGTATATCCTTACTCTTTCCTCTCCCAGGATGAATTCTCCTGAGACACATACATTCTTAATGGGTCCAGACAATTTTTATTCATAAGAATTTGAATGAAGAAAGGGAAAAGGATTAAAATTCAATGGGAAATGGGCAAGAGAATTGAATAGGAACCTCACAAAAGAGGCTCTCTCCTGAGATAAGTCCATCTCATTAGTAATCAAAAAATGCAAATCAAAATCACAAATAGATATCACTTAACACTTAAGAGAATAGGTAAAATTTAGAAACCCATCCATGCCAAGGTGCTGGGTTGGAGGAAGCCGCAATGCCAAACACTGCCGGTGAGAGGGCCATGGGTAAAACCACTTCAGAAGATCATCTGGGATTATGGACTGAGGTTGAACATAGACAGATATCTGATCACACACACTTCCGGGGCTAGGTAAGGAGATGCCCAGAGAGAAAGGTCTGCACAGGTGCGCAAGAGACGTCCAGAATGACGAAGCAGCACTATTTTTAGCGGCCAGAACTGAAAACAAATCAAAGTCAATCAACATTAGAAAGGATAAACTGTAATAATATACACACAGCAATTACTTTCTATACAGCAGTAGCAATGACTTAACTACATGTAACAGCATGGATGAATCTCACAAACATAACATGAAGTATAACTACTCCTATAAAGTACAAAAACAGGTAAAATTAAACCATCACACAGGGAGGGGTGGGACAGGTTTTTAAATTACTTTGAAACAAGAACAAAAAACACAAGGATCTAGTTATGAAGACTTGTCAGGAACTCTGGAGGGAGAGAGAAGAGTTGGCAGTTAAACTGGTAGAAGGTGTGAGGGCGCTTGTGGAAGGCTTGCCGTGCACCGCTTCCTCATCTGCGTGATGGTTTCACGGATGCACTCC